TGATTACTCTTCTGTATTACCGTAGTATCTTTATTTTTAGTATAAAATTTATTTATTTCTTATTTAGAGTTATCTCAGGTAGAATTGACATGTTTTTACAGTTTTTTTATATAGGCCTACGCATATTTATTATATTATAATCAGTATTAAGATATTTATTAGTCATTCGGTTATTATGGTTATTAGAAGTGAACCCTTTGGTTCATACATCGTGGCCGAACTTGTTAAATATTTCGCCCTCTAGAGAACGGGACTTTCAAAAAGAAAATAGATTGGCGGTCCGGCAACCCGGCCAGGGTTGCCATTTGGCCTTTTTGACGGCCAGATTCCTCAAATCTGGCCGTATAAAATTTTGTCTGGCCGTAGCATTTGAAAAGTCACGGCCAAACTATATTTGGCCGAATTTGGCCGAATTTTTTAAAAGTTTACATTTTTTTTCAATATAGGCCTAATATAACGTAGACTTGTTTTGGATATTTTGGTTTTTTTTTAGCTTAAATTTTATATTTGATTCTAATCTTTTACCTTTGTTTGTACTTGCACTAAATATTTAATCTATTTTCCCCGGTTCAGCCGGTTTGACGTAAGAGAGTTTATTTAAAAGATGACATTCAATAATTTAAATTGTTCGGATGAAATATATTGTTTTTGAAGTTTATTCTCGTTTAAGCTTCATGAAGACATTCATTGCAAGTTTGTACCATATATTGTGTCTTTGTATATAATGTTCCATCTTATTAGTGGAGGTTCTATCTCTTTTGAATTTCTTTTGAATACAAATTAAATACTGTACTTTAATTAATTTATTATTGCCCACATGAGTTGTATAGCCCTAGGTGCCACAGTGTTCTTTATGTAGAGCGCCATATACAAATGCTCGATGTGATCATTCGGGTCCGATTGGCACCTCCAATTTCAAGCAAGTTTTGTAGAGAGACTTCTTCGAAGTTACTGGAGTTAGGTGGCACATGAGAATGAAGAAGATAATTCTGATAGCAACATTGATTTATTGCTTTAAGTACTGCGACAATGACATTCAGAGGCGAATTTAGAAAGTCATAAAAAGTATTTATTCAAGTTTTCATAGGTTTGTTTTAACGCCAGTTTGTGTTACCTAACTACGTAACTTAATTAATTCTAATTAAAGATAGCCACGGATTTGTCAATAACAGGCCCTTAAAATGTTTGCTATAGATCGACTACAATGTACATTAATATTTAATACATTTAAATCAAATTTAGATCAATCTTAATATTGTAATTTTAAATAGCAGAGGTGGATTAAGGGTGGTTAAAAAAAAAAAAGAAAAGAAAGAAAAATTGATCGCCCAAAGGCATCAGGCTATTTTCGGGCGTCTAGAAAAGATAAATTTCCTCTAAGATGGTGTTATCTCGATCGGACCCACTTTCGTTTCATTGTAAATATCATATAGTGTATAATCATATGAATTGGTCGCATGCCAGCAACTAAAGAACATAGGCTATTTATTTTTAACATTGTTCTGTGTATATCATTTGGATTTCTTGAATTTCAAACAAATGACCGCAGATTTTCGTATAATTTTTGTATTTCAAATGAATGTACCCACTGTTGTCTTCTAATCGGATTAAAATCTGGCCGATTTTTGGCCGATATCGAAAAAAAGTTTGGCCGAATTTGGCCGTGAGATGGCGTGTGTTTGGCCGTGAAGCCTGTCGACTATCTGGCAACCCTGAACCCGGCTTGGAGAGTGCTTCGCTTGTCATGAAGTGGCTGAGGCTATCGGCACTGCCGCAGTGCGAAAAAAAGCTGCTGTTTTCTATCGGCACTGCCGCAGTGCCAAAAAGCTGCTGTTTTCTATCGGCACTGCCGCAGTGCCAAAAAAGCTGCTGTTTTC